GCACCTGATGTGGTATTTTGTAAGGTGTCGTACCTGCAGAGATACAGTTTGATCCTATAATGAGGCCAGGCCAAATCATAAAAGAATAATTGGTCTCTCTAAAAGCAAAGGGATTACTGAAACCATATATATCTTAGAAGAAATTTTCTCTAGAATTAAGGCTAATAACAATTGGATTTATGAACCTGTGGTATATATTTCATTATTATTCTTGCAGTGTTTTGTTGCATTTAATAGATCAAATCTAGGTGAATTATATTCCCATCTTTAACTCTCAATGTGCTTATTTCATCTGTGTCACCACTCCTAACATCTACAGTTTATAATGTCATAAAAATTTTCATTCAAATGTTCCAACCTCTGACACAAAATATGCGTCACCGCTTCCTAACATCTATTATTCACATTATTCCGAATCTGTATTATCCAATGTGTTCCACCCTCTAACTCAAAATTTGTGTCGCCACTTCATAACATCTATAGTTCATATTATCCCTTTTTAACAAGATGTTCCAACCTCTTAATCAAATTTGTATCGCTGCTGAACATCTATAGTTCATATTTTCCTGAATTTCATTCAGGTGCTCTAACCTCTGATTCAAAATTTGCAAGACAGTTGTGGTCGTTAAAAACAATAAGTGTACTTAAAATATAATGCATAAATGTATGCCCTTTTGAGTTTTTCTTTGTTTTCTTTTTGGGTGCTGATATGTCTATATACCCAGCATTTTGTGTTGGGTAGCTCTTTATTCTTAATGCATGGGTCATAACCTCATGTGACAAGAAGCATATTGTGGCAATAAAAGGCAAACGATCTTAGTTTGTTAAATATTAAATCTTTATTAATTGTAAATCACATAGAGATATCTAGTATGCACTCTATCAAGTCGAAGTTGTTATAGTAACCTATTATTAAGGGACACTGTCATGACGAAAAAGTGTCCCATTAATAGGGATTCGCTGTAAAGTTGAAAAATATATATGCTTTGATTCACGGCCAAAAGTGTCACCCTGTAAGTGGTTCTAATATATTCCTACTCTGATTATCATTATTAACTTTTTTTATTGTATAATTTTTCTATTTATTTTCTCTATGTAATTATGTAGGCCATTAACTACATATCTCCACCTCACATGTTTTCTAAGCAATTATTTTCAACTGTGACATGCTGTATTTTGATATTCTCTCCTTCGTTATCCTCTTTATTTCTTCTGATTTCATGTTTTTTTATTAATTGTAAATTAGGATTGTGTATGGTAAGCAGATTACCAATGAATGTCAATTCTACTGCGTCTGTAAACAAATATACTGGTGCTTTGTTTTTATGTTTTGTATATTATTACGATATAATGGGGGTTAAGGAAACCACAAAGGTTATAAAATTCCCACGAGGCGCCAACGTGATCATGTTTAGAATCAACTAAATGTCGCATCAAACACATAATCTCAGAATGCTCTTCAACAAAAATTATATTTCTGAAAATGTCAATATAAAGGTGAGTTCTAAAGAGTGTGTGGATGTTGTAATGATGCATAGTATGTTTTAAAGGGACAGTTGAATGTTTCTACCAATGTTTATGTTGCAGTATTTTAACTAATGTTTTAGTAATAGATATAGAACATTAAAGGTGTAGTCTCATGTTATGGTGTTGTAATGTGTAGTCCCATTTTAATTATTATTGTTATACATTGTACAGAAAAGACAAAAGACAGTCTTATTTTGTTATGATAAAGTTAACAATACAGTTCTATATTTTGTTTGTAGTGATATGTTCCATTTTGTGTCACTTGTCACAATTATGTTTATAGAATTTTAAAAAGGCAGTCTATGTTTGTATAATAGCCTAGTGTTCATAATATTATAGGGGAAGTTTTGCATAATGTACCATAGTTCCTCTAGTATAAGTCAACCCTCCTTGAACACAAAAATTGGCCAGTATTTTGGAGTGGACTTATATGCGACGAATCCCCTTTTCAATAAAATGGCAATTTTCAGGACTGTATGCCTAATTGAAAGCCAACATAATATTTTTTACTGAGAATTTTGTTTGTAAAAGTTATACACTGGGTTTTTGGCCGAGGAAAGGCTGGTATGTAGAATTAGGTGTAAAGTAGCGGTTGGGGTGATACCTGAGCTGAGCTTATAACTGAGAAACTACAGTATAAGCAAATGAACAGAATATTCTTGGCCAAAATCGGGTTAGCGCAGCAGTTGTTGTTCAGGCTGTAGACCGTGTGGATTTCAAATCCCACACTGTTAATTTTCCTACATTTGCCACTCTTGACCAAGGAATAAATCAGTAGGTATGCTGTAAATGACTTGGCATGAAATTCGTCAGGTGCTTAGCAAGCTGTATGACCAGGAAAACTTCACAGGTTGCATAGATGTTTGCAGACTACGCATTGCATGTATAATTTATTTAGTACAGTAACATCTCCCAATTATGAACCTCCCATTTATGAACTCTCGATTTTACTAACCAAATTTGCGGCAATGACGTCATTACTTCTGTAAAGTATTATTCTGTTGCAAAAAACAGTAAAATCCAAGTCATATTTCGTGACAACATTTTTCTCATATAGCATAGCTTAGGCCTACTTGGCCCTGTACTTCGTAGCATGGCCAAGGCCTACCCTCACCCCACTGAGATGCTGAACTCTCTGAATTATGAATTTTCTCATTTACAAACCCTGTTCGGACGGAGGGATACGTAATTGGGAGATGTGCTATGAGTGCCTATTTGCATATGTCAGTGTAATAAGACCGAACTAATTAATGTTATTAATTAATATTTCATGCTTACTGTATAACTTAATTGTAGCTTAGAGGCATAGGATGCTGAAATTTAAATATTTTTAAAACAGTTAATTAATGTGGCTCAGGATTAACACGCTGGTTAAGATTGCCACCTAATGGGAATAAAACTTACATCACCATGGCTGAAAGTTTGTAATATTTTAAATGTTCAGTTAGATAATCTTGGATGAGCTGTAGCTATTCAGTAGATGTTGTCTAGTTGAAATGAAATGTTAGCCCCCACTGGAAATTACAAAAAGGAAAAATCATTTTACATGTAATTACAGCTGTCTACATCTGTATAGTACTTCTAGAAAATAAAAATTCAATATAATGTTAAATTAAGTTATTAAACTTACAATTAACACTAACAGATGCATACAAAAAATGTCTTTTCTACATTATCTTTTCATACAGTAGAAGCTTAAATTGGTTGGTGCGGTAGTAATGAATTTTTATAGTAAGGATGTTTATAGCGCTATAACATTGCGGGAAGTCTATTTTACTTTAAAAGTTAGTAGTTTGATCAATCACTTTTTGCCTCTAAATTGTTCTGGTGTTTAAACTTTCAAGGAGTTTGTCCATTAAGGGGCTTTACAGGCACTAGGCTTTTGACACCAACTATCAACCCCCTCTGTGGTTCTAAAAAATGAAAATTAAATTAACAAAAAAATCAATAAAAACAAAACAAAACAAAAGAAAATATCAAAATATCTTGTAGACAACCTAATTTATTGTTATTATTTTATTGTTATTTGCTTTTTCTCAGTTGGCCTATATTATTTCTCTGTAAAGCGCATAGGGGCAATGTTCAATATGCGCTATATAAATATAACATTATTATTATTATTATTATTATTTAATTTATTATTTTGAATGAATAGTTCAGTGCCTCAATGAATATTTTAGGTTTTCTAAAGATGTTTACTAAATTTGCTATCATATACTTTCTCAAACATGTACCTTATTGAAATAAAATGTTTGCTTAAAAGTATATTATTAAATAAATAATAACTGTTAGTGTTTAAAAAGTGAATTGAAAAAAGTTGTTGGCATCGGTCCTTCAGTGTCCCATGACTACAACTTCAATCTGAATCACGGCCTAGGCATAGGAAATAGCAATGCCAGCAAATAATTTACGAATTAATAATCAGGAAGGTCACTTATTGTGCCGTAGCTTGCTCATTCCTCATCGAAGTTACTGCACAGAACGGCGCCTGTACGCCAGGCGATAGCATCCACTGTTGGTTTGTGCGGCTAAATACCTTTCCGTGTGATTCCACTCGGTAATTCATGCATGCCTAAACCAGCATCACTGATTCCCCTTCCTCAAAGGAAACATATCTCTTCTCACCCCTCCTCCCCAATCATGGATTCCGCGGTTATCTACGAGCATGACGAAGCTGTCGGTGTGATTCAGAAACATGCACAGAACGGTAGAAATGCTAACGGAAAGTCTGAGGAACAGAATACTACTAGCCCAACTTCAGGCACTTCCACAGACAAAGTGAGTAGTACCGGGTATAGAAAGCATTATGCTAAGCCTTTGAGAAAAAATATTGCTATGTTCATGGTTTTATATTTAATTAAATGTATGAGGAATTTTCCAGATCTAAAAACTATAGATCTTTAAACAGCATAACAATATAATGTAGCCTTAAAATGTAGTTTCTTTGTACAGTATCATAGTTTTTTGACTAATGGAAATTATTATTATTTATTATTATTAAAAAGCATTTATATAGCACCTTTACAAAAAAGATCAAAGCGCTGTACATCAAAACCCATTACAAAGATAAAAATAAATAAAATATTTTATATCAATCAATAAAAATGGCAAGTACAAATTACAACATTCAATAAAAATTTCAAAGATCAAAGTGCAGTACAGAAACCCATTTTTACAAATATAAAAGTAAGTATAGTAAAAATAAATTTATTTGATGAATGTAAATGAGTGGTTCAAATTTTTACTTAAATTTTCGAGATTTCTCTTGATTTATGTGAGATCTTTTTAGTAACATCAACTCAAAAATGTGACCAAAAACTTTGTATTTTGTCAGTTGGCAGAGGCTGAAATGTGACCTAGTTATAATAGTAAATCTTCATTACGACACCGGTAATAGTAGCATTCTTGGTTTATCCTGAGATTTACCAGCCAGCGCGGTAATAGGCTTCTTCCGAGTGGTGCCACAGCTGGTGAGGTATTCTTTCATTATGCATCTTTACGGCATTGCTCTTGATCACTGTCCATCCCATGGCATCTTGTTGGTCTCACATCCAGGCAGCCTTAGAATCTGGCAGGCAAATCTAGGTTTGAATATTCTAATTACTTTTATTCTGATGAAACAATTTTAATTTTTTACTAATTTTTACAGTCGTATAATAAAAATGTTCAGAGCATTGCTGAGTAGTTTTCTGTTGTATTGGAAAGAAAACTTGTCTAATTTATGGTTTTGAAATTTGACTACCATTTTAATGAATTAATGTGAGTTTGAAACTTGTCATAAAAAAATTGGAAGAAAAATTAATGATTATAAAATGTGACAATTCAGGGGTAGTGCAGATATAAGTAAGTTAAAGTGGAGTTAACAACCATAGAAGATTTGAGCTGTTTCATGTACAGTATATATTTTAAGTAAAATAATTAAGAAATTATAATTACCCTATAAGTAGATAGTGATAATTATAAATATCAAAGCTTCAACAATTTATTATTAAAGCTGGTTTCCATAAAAATCACTGCACTCCTTTGGCAACGCCGATTGGTGAGTTGAATCAGGGAGTGTTCCTGATGGCATTGGGGACAGCTACGCTGTCAAGGATTACAGTGAAAACGCTGTAGTGACTATGTAGCGATTCTATGGAGACAAGACTTAGTGTTAGATGATTATTGCCTAAAACCTACTCCCAAGGTTATTAGTGGTGGGCTAGATAACTCAAAGGTGAGTTTTTACCCACGTCATGAAGAAATATAGAGATAACCAGATAAAATTGTATTCAGTCATATACAGATACCCTTTTGAAGGTATTGCTATATGTACTGTAATGATATATTTGTATGATGATAGTATTTTAATGTGATGGATTATTAGTGTTTGTCCTATCATATCAGTATTTATTGAGTAGTTATTAAGTGATCAATTCTTCTGTCAACTATAGTCTTGGTGCCTTTTAGATCGGTTCATTTAAGGTCATGTGTAAAGCGGTTATGTTAAAACAAGGATGTTTAGAAGTAAATTAACCAGAAGAAGGAATCATCTTAAAATACCAGATAACTCATTAAAAAAAAATGCTCTTTGCACAAGCTCGGAAACCACACTGTCATCACCCACGGATTAAAATATATAATATCCTTCAGCATCATCTAGGACAAGCTAAGACGTTAACCCAGTCAAGGACTTCCTTCAACAATTGTACCCAGCATTATTTGGATGCTAGAAGACTGCTTCTGTGATGTGACTGGCATCATTGGGAGGAACAAAACTGAAACCAATGTTTTTTTAGTCTCAAATAGTCTCCAATACATGAAAGAAAATATGTGTATATGTATTGCAAATTGGTAACTGGAAGAGATTTAATACCTAAAAAATACATTGGTGTATTTTAGTTGATAATAAGCTATGGGAGATCCAGAAATTTGAAACAGAGAGGGCCCAAGGAGGGACTATCAGCTAGAGGTTCTAGACCACCAGAACCCCAACTAAGTTTAGAAAATTTATGATTACCTTATGGCACCTCTTGATGGCCAAAAATAATAATAATCATGTTAGTCTTATAAGAGTGCTTAATGCAAAACAATGCTTCTAATTGCTTTACACATAAACGAACTTGAAAAATGGAATGACGCCATAAAATATCCTAACAGTAACCAAAAATGAAAACGCAGAGGAACCCTTTTCACAACTCCGTTCTCCAGTACTTTGAAGCTCCCATAATTAAGAGCTCGCTGGAACAGAAATCACAGGAGCTCGAGTGAAAATGGCATCTGACTATCCTATCCTACCAAAAAAAAAAATGTAGTGATTTTTGAGGAAAAAATATAACAATTAGATTCAGTTTTCGAGTTTAAGCAGAGTTTTAAGAGGAGCAAGTAATTCATAAAAAGATGATGCTTTAGAAATTTTTTAAAATGAACATTCTCACACTTATATTTGAATATTTTTTCTCCATTTAAAAAAAAATAATTTTGAAAAATATAGGGCGGGAGGGGGGTAGACACGGGCCAGCTGCTCCCTCTTCCCCATTGATTGATGTAAAAATGCTATTTTTATCCTGTGATGAGTCAATGATCAAGTCATTTGGTTCATGGGTCTCCCTCAAAAAACATGCCAGGAAGTATGTCTAAATTAGTAAAAAATATTTCAAGTGATACACACATCCTCCCTATAGCTATAGTTTGGAAGATCTGGTGCCCTTGTCAATGTACAGGATGACTATTCATTTTGCAGTTAGCTGATAGCTTCAGAAATTTTCCTACAGGGGTCCAGCATGTTTGACAGGAGATCCAAACCAAAGGGCCCTGACAGGGTTCCAGAATGAAATCCTTCGTGGGTTTCTTGATGAGAATTTAAGGTTAGGATGGCCCAAAGTAGTACCTATAGACCACAGTATTAGGGATTGGCAATCAAAATTCAAAATAACTTTAAGTGTTCAAATTAAATTGTTTGGTGTGACAACCCTGTCACCGGTGTGCTAGATGAGATGAGAGGTCTATACTTGACTGAGGGGGAATATCTCGACTCCCACGCTACTTTTGCTATTGACATACGTAAAAATGTGTGTACATAAATGTGCTAGCATGCATTTTCACACATGTGTACATGCTCATTACTTGTCCTAGAGTATATCTTCAACATTGTGTTGAAACTTATGACTAACAATAACAGAGCTTATTTCCCTGTTGGATGAAAACCAGATTCTTGAGATGTGTAACTAATATTATAGATTTGGAGCATGTTGACAAAAAGCTTATACAGCAGATTCTGACCTAAATTCCAAATTTAAACCAAGCAGTCTTGATTTTAATTGAACTCAATATATTAACATAATTCCTTGCAGCTGATTCCTGCGTAATCATATCACATGTGCCAGTACAAGATTATTTTTCCTCTGCAACTAATTTTGCAGGAAATAATACCTAATATTTGCATAGAATATCATGTTTTATAAACTTGGTTAGATTTAAAGCATTCAAAAAATTTTTTCAAGCATTAAATCTAACCTTCGTATAATAATTTAAATAATTAAAATCTTGGGATAGCACAATATTTTTTATTATGACTAATACACTCCTTAAGCCTTGTGAATGAGACGAACGCACGCAAAGATGCGGACCCAACGGGTCGTCTTTTTAATAAGGATCTGTTCAGATTGCCACTGACAATCAACAGACGGCGTTGCGTCGTATGTCGCTCGCCGGAAGCAAACGTGGATTCGTCATGCGACGGTCGTACGACTGTCTTACGATGCAGTGAGTGTCTAGCCTTATAAAGCATCTTATTATTTTAGTTAATTAATTAAGATCATCTGGGATAAATTGGAGGGATTGTTCTCCATTAATATAGTATTAAAAAGATATATAAATTATTAGAAATATTTCATTGGTAATTCTAATAATGGAAGCAAAAATTAGAAGCATGAGATAACTTCCACCATGAGGTTAAATAACATAAAAACTGGATGGCATTTACATTTTGAGACAGGATGAATTTAAGTAAAGTAGAATAAATGATAAATCATTATTGGAGAATGATTTTTAATGCATGACCTTTTGCACTTTGGTTTAGGATTTAGGAGAAAAAAATTCATGCAACTTGTAATAAGCAGATTGATATTATAACCATGTGACAGTGTCCTTGTTGTTTTATTCTGTGCATATTTTATGTCATAAAGAAGGTAATTGTAAGTGAAATAGTCACATCGATTGATTATGGTATGAAAAGTCATTCCATGAAAATATTGATAAGTAATGGAATTTTTTAGTATCTGAAAGTTATCATCTTACTTCTGAGAAGCACTTTATACTTTACGTGGGTGTAATTAGTTTTTAAGCAATTTTCATCCTTTTTTATAAGACACTTAGCAAATAAGATCATTGTCTTTATCTTGATCTGTATGACGAGGCTAATGGCAATGAAGCGCAGGCGATGCAGCCTTTGAAATATGGATTCAGGGTTTTGGCATCAGCAAATGTATAATTCATATGTTATGTACGTTTGTTGTTTAGCAACGATGCGTATGCAACATTCAGCAATGATGCTGTTGACATTGTCAGCTGGAATGGTAATGCTCACATGTACATCAAACACAGACTATACGTGGAACATGCAAGTACATCTTGTAATCTCAGGGAATTATGATAGCGAAATGTTATGTGATAGAATGCCGGTATGTAGTATACTTCATGCTATTGATTTTCATTTTATTTATTTTTATTTATTCAGGTTTAAAATACATTACAAAATGCAGAACAAGTGTGAAATAATCACATTACAATAAATATTGATAGTGAAATGTTTTGTTATGGAATGCCCGTATGTAATGTACTTTGTGCTATTGATTTTTATTTTATTTATTTTTATTTATTCATGTTTAAAATACATTACAAAATGAAATTATTGTATTATTATCTTTACTGATCTTTACAAATTTTTTGAAGAATATTTATAATTCCGATTATTCTATACTTTCATTCTGAAGACTAGGAGCAGAATTTACATACTTCTTAGTTTTTATATCTGCAGTTGCCAAATGAATACTAGTATTATTGATGTGGTAGGTTTTAATTGCACTTTTATCTTATCACTTCCAACATGAGTCGTGAATGTGATGTTTTCTTTGGTGCACATAAATTGTGTTGAGAAAACTGCCAGACTTGAATTTTAAAATAAATAAAAAGCAAATCACAATGGTTGGGGCTGAGGTAAGAACATTTTTTATTATGGCACCTTTAAATGACTGGAAATGGCACTCTCAGACCTTAATTTTAATTTTATAATTTTTTAATTTTCTTTTTTTTCTTCATTTTAAAAATAATGTTGAAAATATTTTTGATAGATTCAATTGTATGTGTCATTGTCCAGATTATTAAATTTTCTTTGATAAAAAAATATATAGTCATGATGTGCCTATATAGTCATAATGTGCCCATATAGTCATGATGTCTCTTATACACATCT